AATGTAAGACAAACACCTGAACTTACTAGAGCCCATCAATAAGTGGATCTCACACTACTTTTTAGTATCTGTGATGTACCTGCTAGGGACTATATGCGGAATAAAGGAATACATGATATGGTTCTGGTCCCCCAGGTTGAAACCTGAGTGATGATATTCAGGAGCACTTGAAATGTTCAAACTGTGTGATACTTATAAGAATTCATATTTTTTAAAAAGATTTTATTTATTTATTTGACAGAGAGACACAGTGAGAGTGGGGACACAAGCAGAAGGAGTGGGAAAGGGAGAAGAAGCAGGCTTCCTGCACAGCAGGGAGCCTGATGCGGGGCTCGATCCCAGGACCCTGGGACCATGACCTGAGCTGAAGGCAGACGCTTAACAACTGAGCCACCCAGGCGCCCCAAGAATTCATATTTTTTAAGATGCTTAATTACTTGTTTATTAAATCAATTAAAAGCATGCAGTGAGAAGCAAGGGGAAAGAGAATGGGGGTAGTTAACACATTTAGTGTAAGCCAGTAGAAGGGCCATGCTATGTTATGTACAGATTATACAATGTTCATATGCCTTCTCTCTCTTTGTTGCAAGGCTTTTTTGGTTTTAGGGAGCAGGGACTCTCCTTGCCAGCTTAAGTCTTCTTAAAAAGGAGGTGGGGTTGAAGTTCTCATGGGAATCCAAGAAATGAGAGACAAGGAGTGGCCCAGTGGTCCTAAAGAGTGAGTGTTCTTGGTTATTTGTGCTTGCCCTAGTTTCCTTGAGTTTGCTTCACTATCTGCTATCTTTTGGCTGCCAACAGCCATCCTCACCCCCTGTTCTTTTTAGTACTTCTCTACCTCACAGGTTCTGCTTATACTGGTTCTGGCTTCCTCATGACTTGAAGTCCCACTGGGCCCTTACTCTATATCATGGCTTCACTGCATCCATTCAGGGCCTGCTTTCTGTGCTTTTGATCTTCATATTTCTTATCCACACCCCCAGTAATGAGCATCTGGCTGAAGTTTTTCTTGCTAGGGTAGAGCTTTCCATGCAAGAGGATCCCAGAGGCCAGAAACTCTATGCCCTCCCTTCCTTACTTGGACTCAATTGGGTGAGACCAGGTGTGAGGTGGGTCTTGTGGTGCACATGTGGCTGCCAAGCCCACCTTTGTATCAGAGTTGGGGGATGGGCATTGCCCTCTGAAGTGGCTGTGGGCCTGGCAGGTACGTTGGAGAGCCTTTGGGGCAGTGGGACTCGAGTAATAGGATTTGAGCAGGCTGGGATCAGAGAAGGGATGGTCTGGGAAGAAGACAAAGATCTGACCCATGAAGAGCCAGCATGTGTGCAATCAGAAGCCTGCTAAGAGTGAGCAGGGAGGAGGTTGGATTATAAGGGCCCTAAAGGCCATGTGGAGGAGGTAAATGTTTTTTATAGGTGACAGGTCATCTCTGTAGGCTTTTAAACCCTGCTGCCAGAATAGACTTGAGACCTGCTAAGAGGCCACTGACGCCAGTCGGGAGTGAGATAATGTGTGAGAGGGAACAGAGGGAGCAGGTGGTCATGGGACTGGAGAAAGAACAAACATGGGCTGACATCACAACAACAACTGGGTATGGCAGCTTCAGGTCCAGGTGGAAAGGAGTGTATTCTAGGGGAATAGTAGCTTCTGTATCGGAACCAGGAATGCAGTAGCCAACACCCAGCACAGAGATTTTCGTGTCTTCATTTGCAGGGTGGCCGGTGGGACACAGCTTTTCACAAGTGTCCTGCCAGGTTTATGAACTGTCTCTGTCTGCTTGATCGATCAGTCGTAAACATCCATTCTTGTGTCCTGTCCGTGCCCAGCTTTTTAGAAACCTTTACTCCATCTGTTTCCTTCAGTGCCAACCAGAAGGACAGTGTTCCTGGGAGCTCTACACATTATAATTTGGCCAAGAACCCAATCCATAGCATACTGACGCCCTCTACCCTGGGTTTTGCCCCTGCAACCTGGTCAGACATTTGGGCTTGTTCAGAAAGTGCTAGTGTGGAGCATTTGAATTTGGCTCGAGTGTTTTGGAAAATTGTGTGGTCCATCGGGTGCTTAGACTGACTTGTAGCCTTTCTTGCTTTATTTATATTGTTTATTATCAGAACGATGAGAGTTAAACAACTTGGATGCAACTCAATTTTTAAAAATTATTATTTTTTTAAATTGAGATAAATTGTATAACATTGTATTAGGTGTGCAGTGTAATTATTTGATATATGTCTATAATGCAAAATGATTACTACACTAAGTCTAGTCAGCATCCATCATCATACATAGTTACAGATTTTTTTCTTGTGATGACAACTTTTAAGATTTACTTTTTAAGCAACTTTTAAATACATATAACAGTATCATTAACTATAGTCACCATGCTTTACATTACAGCCCTAGGACTTATTTACCTTATAACCAGAAGTTTGTACCTTTTGACCACTTTTACCCATTTTGCCCATCCCCCACGTCTGACAGCCACCAATCTGTTCTCTGTATCTGTGAGTTTGATTTTTTTTTTGTTCCACATATAAATCATACAGTATTTGTCTTTCTATGTCAGACTTCTTTCTTTCTTTTTTTTTTTTTTAAAGATTTTATTTATTTATTTGACAGAGAGAGACACAGCGAGAGAGGGAACACAAGCAGGGGGAGTGGGAGAGGGAGAAGCAGGCTCCCCGCAGAGCAGGGAGCCCGATGCGGGACTCCATCCCAGGACCCTGGGATCATGACCTGAGCTGAAGGCAGTCGCTTAACCAACTGAGCCACCCAGGCGTCCCAGACTTATTTCACTTAGCATCATGTTCTCAAGGTCCCTGATGCAACTCAATTTAAAAAAGGCCTGATATGGAGTAGGCTGACTTTGAACAACAGATAAAACAGAGGGGGTAATTACTTGCTGACTGCAATAATGCAATAATGCTGATTGCAAATAATGAAGGATATGGACTCATCTCTCTCTTTTTTTTTTAAAAGATTCTGTTTATTTATTTGAGAGAGAGAGAATGAGCAGGGGGAGGGACAGCGGGAGAGGGAGAAGCAGACTCCCCATTGAGCAAAGGGAGCCCGATGCGGGGCTCGATCCCAGGACCCCGGGATCATGACCTGAGCCGAAGGCAGATGCTTAATGACTGAGCCACCCAGGCGCCCCTGGACTCATCTCTTAAGTTGTATGAGCCTTCATTTCCTCATCTGGGAAAAGTATAATAATCCCTGCTATGTCTACCTTTCAAAGGTTTTGAGATGCTCAGATGAGATAGGTGTGTGTAGTGCTTTGTAAATTTGAAAGCATTCTATGAATTTATGATATTAACTAATGATTAGTGGCTTCTGGGGCATTTAAAAATGGTTTGATCTACATTTAGTGGAAACTCACCTAGTATGAAAACTTTAAAAATGAAATCTCAAGGTTATATCACAGCTCAACATTTTATAGTCATATTTCATCTTTGAAAGTCCACAGAGGAGGGAGCTGGGTGTTCCTGAAAAGAATTACTTGCTGGAAATGGGGTGTGTGTGTTGGGGTGGGAGGAAGGGTGCAGAGGTGGTCGGCTTTCTTTTCTAGGGATAGTGAGTAGAATGCCCTCCTAATGATTAATTTCTTCTTTTTAAAAGATGTTTTTATTTTTTTTGACACAGAGAGACCGCGAGAGAGGGAACACAAGCAGGGGGAGTGGGAGAGGGAGAAGCAGGCTTCCCGCTGAGCAGGGAGCCCGATGCAGGGATGCAGGGCTCGATCCCAGGACCCTGGGATCGTGACCTGAGCTGAAGGCTGACGCTTAACTACTGAGCCACCCAGGTGCCCCTAATGATTAATTTCTTGATAGTGTGTGCAGAAGCAGGCAACTTGGTGGCTTATTAGCAGTAATACCTCTCCTTTTCTTTCCTAGTCTCCTTTTGTCCTAAAGGATCATGCTCCTTGTGTTCACCTCTTGGTTCCATGAAAGTGGCCCTTGGCAAGTAGCACCTTAGCCTTAGGGTATATGGGAGGGATGGAACAAAGCCTTAGGCTCCTCCTTCCAGAATCACCAGTTTTGCTGCTTTTCTCACTGCCTAGTACAGTCTTTTCCCCTGAACTATTTTTCTGGTTCTCTGTATCCTTAAATCCTCACATTTGCCTTGCATGCCCCCTAGTGTCAGGTCTGATGCACCCCTTGTTATGTTACCCTGTTGGGGTCCCATGAGCAGTTCTCCCCACCCAGTACTATTACTAAGTATTATCCATAGTTCACAAATGCGGAACGAGAGGTTCTGTGTTCCTGACTTGCCGCTCGAGTAGGACCTGGGGAGGTGGAATTGGAATTGGAACTTTTGATTCCCAGATTTATACAATGGGAATGCTTCAGAAAAAAGATGACATGGTTATAGCTTTTGTAGATTAAAAAAAATGGTTTAAAAGAAATCTAGATTATTTTGCTGCCTACTCAGCTAATCTAAAAGGATAAAAATGTGGTGAATATTTGAAGATAAGAATGATCGTCCTTTTGGGGCACCTGGCTGGCTCAGTTGGTTAAGCGTCCCGACTCTTGATTTCACTCAGGTCCTGATCTCAGGGTTGTGAGATTGGTCCTGAGTCCAGCTCCACGCTGGGTGTGGAGCCTGCTTAAGATTCTCTTGCTCCCTCTCTCTCAATCCCTACCCGCCTCACACCTGCTCTCAATAAATAAATAAATAAATAAATAAATAAATAAATAAATAAATAAATAAAATGTTTAAAAAGAATGATTGTCCTTTTTACTCTTTCTTCATCACATTGGAAAAACTTTCATCATTCACCAAGTGTTCAGTATTTCATTCTCAGTCCTGTTAACAACTTTGAGGTATACAAAAAAATTATAAAGCATGATGTCTGCCCTGTAGAAGTTTATGTTCTAATTATGTTCTAGTTACAAGGTGTTTAAATGTATTCTCTTGAGGAAAAAAATAAGTATAATGCATGATAACTTTTACTGATGTTTTATATTTTTACCTCTGAGCATTTGCTTATTTATTTTTAAAAGTCCTTTTCCGTGGAGAGAGAACCGCATGATAACAACAGTAATTACCCAGATGAACCCTGGCGGATAACAGAAGAACAGCGCGAGTACTATGTCAATCAGTTCCGATCCCTTCAGCCTGACCCGAGTTCCTTCATTTCAGGTAACTAAGTCTGATGGGTGAAGACATGGGTCCAGGATCATTGTCTCATATAGATAACAGTACACATCTTGAGAAATAGTTCACACAAAATGAATGTGACAATCTCTGTGATTTTGATTTGTTTTCCTCTAAGATTGAATTTCTTTTTTTTTTTTTTTAAGATTGTATTTATTTATTTGACACAGAGAGAGAGACAGCGAGAGAGGGAATACAAGCGGGGGGGTGGGGGAGGGAGAGGGAGAAGCAGGCTCCCCGCAGAGCAGGGAGCCCGATGCAGGGGCTCCATCCTGGGACCCTGGGACCATGACCTGAGCCGAAGGCAGCTGCTTAACGACTGAGCCACCCAGGCACCCCTAAGATTGAATTTCTTATCAGCTATAAACCATGCATAAAAATAGTTGGCAATGATATTTGGAAAATTATATTTCAGTGTCAAAGGTTTAAATGGGAATTTGGGGGAACCTGGTTTAGACCTGTGCCTTATTAGTTGGAGCAGTTCTTGAAATGGTAGACTATGGCACCAAGACGACCTCTTTAATTGCTTATTCATATTAGAGCAAAGATGTAGTGTAGCCTTCTAAAGATTTAGTGTCTCAAGTCTCTTACTGTTATGTATGCTTTAGAAGTCCAAATTCATGCTCGTTTTCTTTGGCTCAAGTCTTTCTCCTCTGGATTTTCTGAGAGAAATTAAAATATGGGAGGAAAATGGGCCAGCAGTTTTATGTCCACATGTCTGTTCTTCTGGGTTGTCTTCTAAATATGTATTCCTGTTGAGTTCTCATGTAAAATTCAAACTGAGGCAAATTGATTTAATTCCTATGTGCATTTTCCTGGACTGAAGACTAAACAGTGAAATAGTAGAGTCTGGAAGAAAAATTCATAAAACTTTCCTTTTGTACTTCAATTTTGAAGAATAACAATATGCCCTCAATAACTGTAACCTGACGTACTGAATGTGGACTAATTTTCTCTTGAGAAATAAGGTGTGTAATTGAAATATACTTATATAAATTCAGACATAATTTTTCTAATTGATGGTAATACTTTATTCTAAGGAGAATATTGTAGATACAACAAATTCATGTTGGCAACAGGACTTAAAATAAGCAGAAACCCAGATTGACCATTTGCTAACCTTACCCACTGCTTAAGTGAGTTTTAAAATTTTTTTTAAAGATTTTATTTATTTATTTATTTGAGAGAGAGAGAGAGCACGAGCCGGAGGGGGGTCTCAGGGGGAGAGGGAGACACGGGGCTCCATGTGGGGCTCGATCCCAGGACCCTGGACCTGAGTTGAAGGCAGACGCTTAACCGACTGAGCCACCCAAGCGCCCCTTAAGTGAGTTTCTTCATAATGTATGTGTATAAGTAGACAAATACAAATGGGTAGCTGTTAGGAGTGTTTTTATTTTAACTTTTTTATTTTGCAGAATTTCAAATACGGATACAACTAGAGTGGCTAGTATAACAAACCCCTCTGTAACCTATTACACAGCACCAATGATTTTGTTCTGTCTGTATCCTCTCTCAGCCCAGATGATTTTGAAGCAGTTATCAGATCATTTCATTTGAAAGTATTTCAGGTCGTATCTCGAATGATAAGAAAGACTTCTTTTAAAAACATAACCGCAATTCATTGGCACACATGAAAAAAATACAAAACACATTTCCTTAATGTTATCAAGTCTTTGTTTAGATTTCCCTGATTGTCTCACAAATGCCTTTTAAAAACAGTTTAGTTTGTTTAAGGTCAAGAGGGGTTAATATATTGCAATTAGGTGTTGTCTCTTTTAAAAAAACATCTTTTTTTGAGATATTAACATAAAATTCACCCCTGTAAAAAGTGTACAGTTTAGTGGTTTTCGTGTATTTACAGAGTATATTCACAATCTGAATTTAGAGCACTTTCATTACCCCTAACAAACACCTACTTATTAGCACTTATTCCCCATTCCTGCTCTCCCCACCTCCCAGCCCTACATAATGACTAAACTACTTTTTCTCTCTAAAGATTCACCTATTTTGGGCTTTTCCTATAAATGAAATCATATAATGTGTGGTCTTTTTTCGTGTCTGACTTCTTTCACTTAGCATAATATTTTTAAGGTTTATCCAGGTTGTACTATGTACTAGAACTTCATTGCTTTTTTATGGCTGAATAATTTCCATTGTATAGATATACTACTTTTTATTTATTCATGAGTTGATGGGCACTTGATTTGTGTTGTTTCCACTTTTTGGCTCTTAAGAATAATGTTGTTCAGGGGTGCCTGGGTGGCTCAGTCAGTTGAGTGGCTGCCTTCAGCTCAGGTCATGATCCTGGAGTCCCGGGATCGAGCCCCACATCGGCCTCTCTGTTCAGTGGGGAGTCCGCTTCTCCTTCTGCTCCGCACCCCGCTCTCATCCTCGCTCTCTCACTCTCTCAAATAAATAAAAAATCTTAAAAAAAAAAAAAGAAAATTGCTACTCAGAACATTTGTGTGCACGTTTTCGTATAGATGTATGTTTTTATTTCCCTTAAATATATACCTAGAAGTGGAATTGCTGGGTCATATCGTAACTCTGTGTTCAATCATTTGAGGACCAGTCAGACTGTTTTGCACGGTGGCTGCATCATTTTACATTGCCACCAGCAGCATATGAAGGTTCCAGTTACTCACCAACACTTATTATCTGTCTTTTGCTTATAGCCAACACTTAACTGTCTTTTGCTTTTAGCCATCCTAGTGATGCTAGATGGGCCAAGGTCCTGAGAGGGAGGGCCTCAGGCCTCTTGCCTTGAGTGTTCTTGGCTTTGTGTGAGAAAGAATTCAAGAGCAAGCGGTTTAGAAAAACAGACAAAAATTTATTAAGTATAGAAGTGAGAAAGGAGTTACTTCACAGATAGAATAGTGATATCTTCTCCCAGGTGAGGAAGACGACCCCCCCTTTGCTTCTAAGAAAGGGTTTTGTAAGTTTGAAAAATTAGCTAACTCTGTAGGGAGGGGCTTACTCCTTAATTTTGGGTTTATCATTTACATTGGGTAGTTAGTTTTGCCATTGTCTTAGGGTTGTGAAATTACCCACAGGGAGCAATTTTAAGAATGTCCGGCCTTTGTGGCTTTTATTGCCCGAGGGAGTGGGGTCTTGTGGTCTTCCATGAGTCAGATCTTGTGACTCTGTCTACTACCTGCTGACTTTTAGGTTAAGGGTCAGTCTAAAACCAGAATGGCTTTACTTTGATCAACTTGTCTCCTGAGTCTCCCTTCCCTCCTACCTCGCTAGTGAGTGTGAAGTAGTATCTCTTTGTGGTTATGATTAGCATTTCCCAGATGAAAAATGAAATTGAACATCCTTTCATGTTCTTATTAACCATTTGTTTATCTTCTTTAGAGAAATGTCTATTCAAATCCTTTGCCATTTTAAACAAATACTGAATGGTAAGAGTTCCTTATGTACAGGCATAACTTCGATGTATTGAAGGTTTGGTTCTAAATGATGGCAATGAAGTGGATATTGCAATAAAGCATGTCAAATAAATTTTTTGATTTCCCAGTGCATATAAAAATTATATTTACACTATACTATAGTCTGTTAAGGGTACAATAGCATTGTATCTTAAAAAAAGCACTGTAGGGATGCCTGGGTGGCTCAGTCGGTTAAGCGTCTGCCTTCAGCTCAGGTCATGATCCCAGGGTCCCGGGATCGAGTCCCGCATCGGGCTCCCTGCTCCTTGGGGAGCCTGCTTCTCCCTTGCCTCTGCCTCTCTCTCTCTCTATCTCTCATGAATAAATAAATAAAATCTTAAAAAAAAAAGCACTGTATATGTTTTAATTAAAAAATAATTTATTGCTAAAATATACAAACCATCATGTGAGCTTTCAGTGAGTTGTAATCACTGATCACAGATCACCATAACAAATATAATAATAATGGAAAAGTTTGAAATATTGCAAGAATTACCAAAATGTGATATACAGACACGAGGTGAGCAAATGCTTTTGGAAAAATGGTACCAATAGGCTTGCTCAACACAAGGATGCCACGGACCTTCAGTTTGTAAAAAAAAAAAAAAAAAAATGCAACATTTGCCAAGTGCAGTAAAGTGAAGCATAATAAAACGAGGTATGCCTGTATTCTAGATACATGTTCCTTATCACATATTGGATTTGGAAATATTTTTTCTCAGTGGGTGGCTTGTTTAGTGTTGATGGTGTCCAGTTTATCTATTTCTTGTTGATTGTGCTTTTGGTGCCATAAAGATCATTGCCTAAACCAAGTTCATGAAAATTTATGTCTATATTTTCCTCTAAGCAGGTATATATATTACAGTTTTATCTCTTACATTTAGGTCTTTGATCCATTTTGAGTTAATTTTTGTGTATGATATCAGGTAGGTGTTCAAATTACTTCTTTCAGGGGCGCCTGGGTGGCTCAGTCGTTAAGCGTCTGCCTTCGGCTTGGGTCATGGTCCCAGGGTCCTGGGATCGAGCCCCGCATCGGGCTCCCTGCTCGGTGGGAAGCCTACTTCTCCCTCTCCCACTCCCCCTGCTTGTGTTCCCTCTCTAGCTGTCTCTCTCTCTCTGTCAAATAAATAAATAAAATCTTTAAAAAAAAATTGCTTCTTTCACATGTGGATCTCCAGTTGTCCCAGCACATTTTTTTTGAAAAAGTGATTCTTCCCATGATTTAATTGTTTTAGCATTCTTGTCAAAATTCAGTTTACTATGAATGTGAGGGTTTATTTCTGGATGTTAATTTTTTCGCACTGATTTTCACTGTTTAGTCTAATGCCAGTACCACACTGTCTTGAGTATTGTAGGTTTTGAAATTAGGAAGTGGGAGTTCTCCAGCTTTGTTCTTGTCACCTTTAATTGTTTTGATTTCAATTTTTAGGGATTGTGGTCTTTTTGAAATTTAGTTTTATACACATATAAAATATTTTCACAATTCTGAATTTGAGTCTACAAAACAATTTACAAAGAAGTCTAGCTTCTATTCCTATCCCCTCTGCCCTTTCCTTCCTTGCCCCCTTTTTTATGGTTTGTCTGTTTTTAAAAGTAAAAGCAAATTCATGTATGTGTGAATAGATCTATATGTGTGTGTATATTCTTATCTCCCATCTTTTGTGAGATAAATGGTAGCATACGATTTATACTTCTCTCCACCTTGCTTGTTCCACTTAACATTATGTCCTGGTGATTACTCCATATTGCATGTAGACATATTTCCCATTCGCTTTTATAAGTTGTGTACTACTAGATTGTGTGATATGCAGTCATTTATTTAGCTAGTCCCCTTTTGGGATTATTTCTAGTCTTTTGCTATTACACATATTTTTGTTGTGAATAACCCTCTGTACTTCTTTGTCAGTGTATCTTTGGATAATCCAATTTTGCTAGATGTTGCAAAACACTCCTTTAGTGGGGTTGTACCGTGCTGTCATTTCACCAGCATTGTAGGAAATGCCCATTTTCCCACAGTCTTACTATCACTACATGTTCACTGACTTTTGTATTTTTCCCCCATTTGATAGGCAAGAAATCATGTCTTTGTGTGGCTCTGTTTCATGGATCTCTTACAAAGAAGGTTGAGGGTTTTTTATATATGTAAATGATTAAGAGTCAGTTGGGCACCTGGCTGGCTTAATTGGTAAGAGCATGCAACTCTTGATTTTGGGGTCATGAGTTCGAGTCCCATGTTGGGGTAGAGTTTACTTAAATAAAAAAAAAGGGTCAGTTGCATCTATTTCTGTGAACTGTCATAGCTCTACCCATTTTTGTATTGTGTTATTGGTCTTTATTTTTGAAAGATTTTATCTGTTCATTGTGTTAATATTTATCACTGATACATCAATGCTATGTATAGCTGTTTTTTACTGGGCTGAGAGACTCCTTGTAATAGAAAGTTTGAATCCACATTTTGATGTTTGATTGCTGACAACTTTTTTAAGCCTCACCTCTCCCTCTTTTGCCCCATATAAAGCTTCCCAGCAGGTCTGAAAATGGCTGGAGAGAGCAAGGAAAGGAGGCTGGGTTGGGGTTTCTAGGTTGGCTGGGATTAGGGCTGGGGTGAGGGTTCCCCCTCACTAATTAAACATCTGTCGGCACCAAAGGAGGGAGCACTTGGGCTTTCTCATCAGCTTCCTTCTCTGGCAGGCGACAGCCAGGGCACGACTGAATTTGTTAGCTGTTGGCTTCCGGATGGGCCCTACCTAATCTCTTTGGGACACCATGCCAGAACAGTCTCTCTCTACTGTCTGAAGGCCAGGCTGGGTCTCTGGCTTGGGTTTGGGCCTAGTGTAATTTGAAGAAAGGATATCAAGGGAGAAAAAGAAGAATGAGTTGAGGGGAGAATGTCTTTATATCTATAAAATAGCTGATAAATAGGCTCTTAAGACATCTCTGATAAATGTTTGACAGGGTAGCTTCACTGATGGCCAGCAGTCCTGTGACAGCATTATTTCCCAGGATGCTTTTGAGACAAAGCTCATTGGTTAATAGGGCATTTTGCCTTTGATCCTTAATAATTTAATCAAAGGACAATACATCTGTTTTAGGGTCCATTATAATCCCTTGTTTTAAGACCAGTTAGAAGACTTGTGATTGCCAAGGAAAGGCTTTTGACTTAATCAGTTTAGAGCTTGAGGCTTGGATTTGACTGTACTTTGTGTTAGAATTGAAGCCTTTGAATTTTGAATTTGTGGTCTTAGAGCTGAAACCATAAAAAATTTCAATCTCAGTAAGGATCAGTCTAACATTTTAAGTGCAGTTGGGACTTGGAGCTATATAACGTGTAAAATGGAATGATTACCTGATTTCAATAGATACTGGTAAATTTGTGATAGATAAAGAAAGTAGCAAGAGGTTCCTGGATAAGTTTCTTAAAGAGCCACCAAGAGATCTTAAATTTCACCAGACTCTTTACCATGTCTTTGTGTGATAAGATCAATGGTGTTAATTTTCTTTTTGCTGTTTTCTACCATGATTGTATATTACTTTCTCATCCTTTCATTAAAAGTGCTTGACAGATTTTTACTTTAATAATTTTGAAATTTGTCTTTTGAATTTTGAATAAACTTTTGCAGATTTTTGGAAAAATGAAGAAGGAATTTATGTGATTCACATATCATAATAAGTATTATGATATTGTTTCTTTTGCCCTATTGTAATTTATATATTCTTTTAAAAGCTGTTCATATGTTGTTTTTAGCCATAGGATTTATAGTTGCTTTGATGAACAAATGTTACATTTGTTGTTATATGGTAGGGATTCTGAATGAAAAAATGGTGATTCATTTATATATAAATATAAAAGCTGCTCTAGATAAGTAATTAATGATTTATTTAAACAATGGCTCTCTTGGCAGGTTCTGTGGCCAAGAACTTCTTCACCAAATCAAAGCTTTCCATTCCAGAACTCTCCTACATATGGTAAGTATAATTAATGCCATATTAGTATTATAGTGTCATTACATACCCATTCCTTAGCTCCTACTTTTGCATTTTGAAAGTTTTATCTTTTGAATGTTTTCTTTTTTAAGATTTTATTATTTATTTGACAGAGAGAGAGAGAGAGCACAAGCAGGGGGAGTGGCAGGCAGAGAGAGAGGGAGAAGCAGGCTCCCCGCTGAGCAGAGAGCCCGACGCGGGGCTGATCCCAGGACCCCGGGATCATGACCTGAGCCGAAAGCAGATGCTTAACCAACTGAGCCACCCAGGCACCCCTTGAATGTTTTTTTAAAAAGAATTTATTTATTTATTTTAGAGAGCACAAATGGGGAGGGGCAAAAGAGAGGGAAAGAATCTCAAGCGACTCCCCACTGAGCATGGAGCCTGACACGGGCTCAAATTCACGACCCTAAGATCATGACCTGAACTGAAATCAAGAGTCAGACACTTAACTGACTGTGCCACCCGGGGGCCCCTTGAATGTTTTTTTTAACAGACGAAGAGAGTGAATAGAACTTAAGACTTTTGTTGCTGTGAGGTTATTATAACTATATTATATATATTGTTATATATAAGTTATTATATGAAAGAAGTTATATTATATATAAGTTACTATATGAAAAGCACAATGTTCAGTGTGTGGCGCACTGTATCTGTTAGCTGTTATTTAAAAATTAATTTTGCAATTATTATCCTCCTCTAGATCTCTTTCCTGTCTAAACAATTGTGTGGGCATATGAGCATTCCCATCTTGTGAATTTCATTTTCAGATATTTCTACTCGATATGATGCAGGTACCCAGAGGATCTTGAAAAACTCTTCTTTAAAATATTTTATGAGGCCAGGTGAACAAGAAGGTCCACATATGTTTTGGAATTAAGTCAAATTTGACTATTCTAGCTGCCTCTGAGCTTCATCAGTTTGGCTGGGCCCTAGTTCAGACTTGCAGCTGTGGTGCGCACTGCATCTTGCTGCTGCGCTGGCTGCAGCCCATGCTCCCGAAGGGCTGTACCAGGACAGTCCAGATGGCTGATTTGCGTTTATGAGAACGCTCGGTGCCTCTGTAAACTCCCGGCTGTGTGTGGGCTCTTCTTCCTCAAGCCTGGGGGGGGGAGACCATGCTGCTATAAATATATAATTAAAACATTGGAATATTTATATGAGACTTTTTTCACGAGGATTTACAAAAATTGTGGCAGGATTTAAAATTGCTTGTCATGTTTTGTGCATTTTATTGGAAAACTATTCCAGTAACACTTGTGCGTGCCAGTGTATCTGGGATTCTGAGCTGGATTTAGGTTCTTTAGCAATATATTCTGGCATTTTTTTTTTTTTTTTTTTTTTTTTTTTTTACAACAAGCCTTATATTAGATTTTAAAGCTAGGGGGAAAAAAGGAATTATCATTTTGAAAAGAAGACACTCTGTTTTGGCAGAATTCCCAGTCTTAACATTATTGGCATGAGGCTTTCTATCTTTTTGTTGAGACATACCCATGAAAGCTGAATGGTATTCTCTCCACCCAGCGTTTGAAACAGTTCCCTGACTTCTCACCCTGGGGAGCTGCTTTCAGGGCTGGTGTATTCTAAATATTGGAGGGGAGGAGAATGTGATTGGTCCAGAGGAAAGTTAGGGAGCTTACCTTCTATATTTCTTCTTTGAAATAGTGATAGCTTTCCAGCACGGTTTTATATCCTATCTCTTTACTTGTCCCAGCACAAGTATATAGTCTCTATACACCTAAGAGACTGGTTGATCTTAGTTACTTTGGCAAATAGGTTTCTTTTGTGCTGAGTAAATAGGTCTGTGCCTTTTAGTGGGAGACACTGACTGAAGCAAAGATAAGCCTTTTCAAGACTTTCTTCCTTTCTGTCTTATCTGGTTCCAGCCTTCCCAAGTTGCTGGTTTTATCTGAAAACATAATTCGACCAGTATTTATTATTACTAATATTATTTTTTTTAAAGATTTTATTTATTTGGCAGAGAGAGAGCGAGAGAGGGAACACAAGCAAGGGGGAGTGGGAGAGGGAGAAGCAGACTCCCCGTGGAGCAGGGAGCCCGATGCGGGGCTCCATCCCAGGACCCTGGGGTCATGACCTGAGCGGAAGGCAGCTGCTTAACGACTGAGCCACCCAGGCGCCCTATCAAGCAAATCTTTGATACAACATTTATGTGACTTGAAAAGTTCAGGGTTCTTCCTTAAAGCTGAAAAATAAAGTGCTCATTTCTGAGCTCGGGTAACTGTATAATGGCTGGGACAACTGTAAAAAGGTTGAGGCCCGCCCTTACTCTGACTGTTGTGAGCACCAGGTCTGGAGCTCTTCACACCACCCATTTACTACTGAATGACTGTTGACTAATGAATCCTGAGCCTTATTTTCCTTTTTGTGCTATAGTTTCTTGTCTTGTGTACTCAGTGCTGTAAAACAGACCTGCCAGAGAACCTGAAGAGTGTAAAGTTTTGTTTATGAAGTGGTGCTGGTACCAGCGCTGTTGATCAGCCGTCGTCCTCCAAGTGCTCCCTGAGATTTCATAGGAGTTTGGAGACTTTGCAGGGCCACCACCAGAGAGCCTGGGAGTTGTGTTTGCATATTTTTTTTTTTAAAGATTTATTTATTTATTTAATTTGAGGTGGGTGGGGAAGGGGCAGAGATGCAGGTGGGGTGGGGAAGGGGCAGGGGCAAAGGGAGAGGGAGAGTCTTAAGCAATCTCTGCGCTGAGCACAGAGCCCGACATGGGTCTCTATCTTAGGACCCTGAGATCATGACCTGAGCTGAAACCAAGAGTCGGATGCTTAACGGACTGCGCCACCCAGGTGCCTCATGTTTGCATATTTGAGGCTGAGTATCTTTTCCTCTAAGCCCCATGTTAGGTGCTTGTGACATGTTATATTTAGGGAACTTAGTGATGCTGACTGCGATGGAGCCCTGACCCTGCCTGAGTTCTGTGCTGCATTTCATCTCATTGTGGCTCGGAAAAACGGTTACCCACTACCCGAGGGCCTGCCTCCGACTCTGCAGCCAGAGTACCTGCAAGCAGGTAAGGCCTCATCAAAGTCCTAAACCTTTGACATTTTCCATCCAGGCCTTATTATAAGCACTTTTTGTGCCTTCAGGTGGTATCCAGGCACTTTGTGGAGTCTTTTGTGTCTAAAGTCCTTTAACCGATATTAGACTCTCATATCTTATGATATAAGTAATAGGGATGATGTGGGTTAAGTGTGAGTCATCTGTTATTCCCATTCTATTGTTCTCTGGATGGATTTGAACCAGTCACTTACCCTTTCATGAAAATTGTGGAGTAGGCAAGTACTGAACCTCCTAGCTGATATAAAATGAAGAGAAAGATCTTCCTGTAGAGCCAAGTGCTGACTTGGCATCTTTAGGTACATCCTAGTGTCCCCAAGTGGCCTGGGGCAATGGAATGGAATGGAACTCTTATACCTGATGAAGTTAAAAAATTACATGCCAGGAAATGTACAAAGTGCTGTGATCTTAATGTTCCCTTGAAAAATTTTTACATCTGTATACATCTATGTAACTGCAATCAGATAGAGATACAGAACATTTGGCACACCACAAGGTTGGACTACAACTCTTTGTCTTTCTCCTTAATAAAGCTATTACCCCCATACCCTTTCAATAAGAAAGAGTCATGGTGAGTCTAACATTTGTATCAATTCTTTTGGAAGATTAAGTATCTCTTGCCCTTTTCAAAGGCAGTGGGCACTGATAACGATTTCTGTTACTCAGAGAAGTATAGCTTCCATTGAAAGGGTCCAGAAACAGTTGGTGCTGTCAATAAGCTTTCTCAGTTTTTAGGGAAGGCCTCTTAAAAACATGAGAACTCTAGTTATGGATGATTGTTGGCAAGAAGGAGCAATGTCTAAAGAAACTGAATAGTCTTTAACAGAGTACACATTTCGTGTTTAGATTTGAAAAAGGCCCTAGTTTCTCATGTCTTGTCCCCTCATAACAACACTAGATTTAAAGTGGCCTGTGAATTATCTAAGTCAGTCTTGGGGTCTCTGACTCTTAAATAAAAAGTCTGTCATTTTCTGTATTTGGTAGTGAGTGGGCCAAAGCTCAACCAAAGGGAAGAGACCAAGTGTGTGGCCACTGCCAGTGGCAGGTAAACATGTTGGGGGGAGAGTGACCCGTTCTGGGATCTTCCCTAAATGCCTCCATAAAATGTATGAAGGGGAGAGTTCAGGCAGTAGACGCTACTACTAATTTCAGAGCTTAGACTTTGCAAATAGCAGCTGCTTTCTGACTACAGCAGGATGTAACTCCAGCCTGCTGCTACCCTTCCTTCTAGGCTGGGGGCGACCCTCGTGGGTCCCCAGGAACCAGTTTGCAATTGGGCAGCATGGCATACAGCTCTGTTTCTACTTTGGTGTCTATCTCACCATCTTTTTCTCTCTGTTCCTCCTGGATTGAGGCAAAGAAGAGCTAACATCCTTGGGGCTATCTTGGCAAGGGTGTAGCTTTCATAACCAAGTCAGTATCAGGTCATCCAGGAGCCCCTTCTCCTGGGAGCAGGGCCACATGGAGCTTTGTCTCTTTCATGGGGATGAACAGCTGACCAGAGGGCAAAGGTCTGCTCCAGGACTATTTAGTTATATTTAATACTGTCACTGTTTCCTATTGTGAGGCCTGGGCATCTTATTGTGGTAACCTTATTTCCCCAACCCACACTTAGCTTTCTGTCTTTGGGTTTTGATGAATGCTGTTGTACTGTTCTGATGTCCTGTGGCCATGGAACCTCTGCCAGGTGTCATGACTCCTTGTTTGAGGGGTCACTTTGTAGGTATCCAAGTATTTCATGGATTGTTTCAAAAGCTACTGATAAAATTTAAAAAAAATCTGAAAGCCCTGTGCAAAAAGTGTGTTAACAGAAGACAAGTAGCCTCCTTTGATTCCTTCACTGCTGCAAGTGGCTGCTTTTGCCTTGCTTATGCAGTAGCGGGGAGTCTGTAAAACAGAGTGCCAGTCAAGAGGCATCTTCCTTTCATTTGGAATGAAGCCCCTTGTTTGTTCCTGATCTTTTGTGGAGGCTGTCAGCATGCATTTAGACAGAAACAACTGGAGAATTCATCACATACCCTTCAATTAAACAAAACTGCACATCGTTTCCAGAGCTTGTGGGATTCATCTTAAATAATAATTACACAGTTCTAACAAAAACCATTAGAGACCTCATAAAACTCCATCAAACTCAGTGATGGTATATTTTAGGCAAACCCTGAGGGTTTAACAGTTAACTTTTTAATGTTTATCACTCATGTTTATTTTTGTATATAGCTCAAGAAAATGGCCAGAACTGTCTAGGTTTTCTCTGTACTTTTAGACTGCATATATGAGTGATTCTGTTCATTTTGGGGGTTCATTTTTATGGTATCCCACTTGGCTTTTTTAAAAGCTTACCTTTTGTTGCATTTTTTTCCCTGATCTACATTCAGTCTTAAAAATAATCTAATCCAGTTTTCAATAAGATTGGTGAAGAGTATAAATTTGGTTGATACCATCTTGCATTTACAATTATACAAGCTTTTTTTCAATAAAATAATGAAACAAATTGTTGTATCTGATTTTTTCCCTAATAGTGGAAATTAAAGGACACAGTTGGAAGGAAAAGTTGGATTACTTGGTAGCTTACCCATGGGCCTTTGATATTTTCCTGTCTAGGTGACTGGGTGGATTGTGGTATAGATTTTTACTGTAGAGTTTGTTAAAAATAATTGTGTGAGCACTGTGTTACTCTCACTGGTCAGAATGCTGTATAGAACAGCATTTTTACCGTCATGGAACTTGCCGGCAGTTAGAGGATCGATGTTCAGTAAACTCGTGTACTTGTAATTAGAGGCAGTGATAGGTGCTGTGGAGAAGCATAGCTGCAGCAAGAGGGTGTATGACCTTGGGGAAGACTTCCTTAAATATTTGAGCTAAGATGTGAAGGATGAGCTAAGGGCTATGTAGGTGAAGAAGGGGGCAAGAGTAGGCTCTGGGCAGAGGGGGCAGCGGGTATGCTGCAGAGGCCCTCAGAGGGGACTTGGAGCACGGGAGGCATGGAAAGTTCAGGCCACAGCATCTGGAGTGCTAGGAGCTAGAGCTGGAGGGGCTGGGGATGAGGCTAAAGAGGAAGGTACGGAACAAACCATGGGCAATGACGTTGATGGGTTTTAAGCAGGGAAGTGCCACAGAGTTGCTGTCGGAGAGGATTGTGCTGGTTGCTGATTGGAGAGCAGGTTTTGAGGAGCAAGGGTGCAAACTCAAAGACCAGGTTATGGCAGCAGTCCAGTTAGATCCACAGGGGGCTGGCACTAGGGAGGTAACAGTGGAGTTGGAGAGATGGGGACAGGCTAGAGAGAAATTTAGCAGTTAACAATGGCATTTGTAGGTTTGGAAAGTGTTAGGTTTCTCTGTAGCAAGACCCTCTCATGATAAAGCTTAAGTCATGTAATAATTCTAGTCAAATCACTGATTGGTAAACTAGAAGCAGAAATCTTAAACCTGCTTGTGTGGCCGGATTGTGGAATGGTACTTGGAAAGGTGTTTTGCTGAGTTTTTACCAAGGAAATGAGACTACGTGGTATAGTCAGAAAAATTGCCAGGGCCCGAGATTTGCCCTACTTGATATTGTTGCAGGATCGCAGGGTTCTTGTCTCATAGAGTCGAAGAATGACCTCTCAGACACAAAGGGGTGAAGTGAAAGTTTATTAAGTAAGGTGAGAGCAGAAAGGAAATAAAAAGCTCTCAGAATGAGAGGGGTCCTGAATGGGTTGCCACTGAGGGGTTTTAGGCTGGTCTTTTATTGAAAACTTGACCTAGGGAGCTTGTGGCCTTGAGATTCTTGGGCCATCTTGGTCTGAGCAGGGACTATTGGTAACACCCTTAAGGACTGACTTCTTTGAGGTTTGGTCAATTTCTGTGATTACACTGTAGCCGCCAAAGAAAAATATTCCCTCACATCAGGGGCCAGATGGCCTGGTCTACTCCCTTATCTCTTGTTCACTCTTTCAGAGCCTAGTCAAGGGCCCCCTATCTCTCCCTGCCTATATCTTAACCCTATCCTTACTCAATATCAGTGAAATTCAGACCAAAGTAAGCAAACGAACAATTTAAGGTGCTTATACTGAACTGCATATGGTAGCTGTTAGTGGCCAGTACTTTACTGCAGAGGCAAGGTGGCATTTCAAACTCTGGTGGGGGTGGGAGGGTGAGAAAGGATTAAAAATAATGCCAATCCATTTTTAACATTTGATTCAAAAATTGTTTAAACGTGGCATTAAAATTTTGATTTCTTAATATCTGGTCTTGACAAATTTGTAGCTTCTGGTTATTGTCTACCATGATCTGCTTTTTCCTCCTTGAGATATTGACCAATTTCCTGGTTGTTGAGACATTTCTTTCTTAATTACTTTGAGACAAAGTGGTGAAACAGAATCTGCTTCTCAGAAATGGTGTGTTGAGTATTAGTTTACCAAGTAGCATAATCCACTCAGCTACCCAGCTAACATAGCAGCTTCTGTCACTGTTCTGTTAGAAGAAACCCAAAATGTGATTCTTCTTTCCTTGTTGTAAATCAGCAAGAACTTGTGCTCTTATTTTTGTTATTTCTGCTAACCAAAAGAAAAGAGTATTTTATAAAGTTTTCTTGGTCCCCTATCATTAAAAGATCATGTCTATTTCAAACAATAATAGCTAAAATGAAGTATTTCCTTACTTAATGTTTATAGCATTAAAACTATCACCAGTTACTGCCATTTAGAAATTAATGCTAGTAGCATAGTTAAAATGTAAAGTATTGTGATAGTGAAGGTTACTACTATGTTACAACGTAAATGCTGACAGTTCAAGTCCCTGGTCTTGCATTTACCAGCTATATGACCTTGAGTAAGTTGCTTAACTTCCCTGCTCCTTAATTTCATCACATGTAAAATGGGGATGATAGAAATAGTAGGTTGTGTATGTGAAGAACTTAAAATAATACCTTGGCGTGATTACTGCCATAAGTAGTGTATTGGTGCTAGCAGATTTTGTTGTTATATTTCCTAAGCACAGAAGAGCTGATAGGAAACAATGCCTGCTGTGAATATAGTATATATTCTTATGTATTTTTGTTTCTTCTTAGCCTTTCCTAAGCCCAAGCGGGAGTGCACACTATTTGATTCTTATTCTGAGTCAATGCCTGCAAACCAACAACCCCGTGACTTGAATCGGATGGAGGTAAAAGATCTTCATATGTTAATAAATAAGGATGTGTGTGGAATTAAAATCCATTAGCCTGTGTTCTTTACAAACTCTAGAAAATCCACTTTCATAACATTTTCTCTTCATGCCGAGTCCTTATGTTGGGGCTCAGCCTTTCAAATCTAGACACCAGATATATCTATAATTACTTTTTTTCTTTTCTTCTTAGAACTAGATTTAGTGAAATAAGCAAAGTAGTCTCTTGACCTTCTAGGGGTGAAATGTAGGTGTAGACAAAGTAAGCCAGAAAAATGCTAGGCAAGTTGTTTATTTTAACCAAGCTTTAATTTTGAAGTAAATGTAGGAAAGTATTTTTAGTAGCTGAGTTATGAACAAGGTCTTATGGACCCAGAATAGTTGTAAGAGGAAGTTTGAGAACTGTGTAAGAGGATCTCAAAATACAATCAAAGCTGCCTTCTCCCTCAGGGTTTTTTAGTGTTGGGACCAAATGAAGACTGATTTGGATTATCCCCAAGAGGTATCTGTAGAATTCCTACAATGTTGGGTTACTGATGTAAGGTCCTAGCCACATGCTTAGTGGTCCTTAGGTATGCATCAATAAATAGGAGTCATTATGGTTATTGTTAAGGTCAGCACACTCTTCATCATCATTATCACTGTTATGATTGCTGTGATGACACCTTATGATATCTGCTGTTCCCATCCTAAAAAAAAGTCTGGAAATGTGTAATAAATGGCGTTTTACTCATAGGCTGCTATTATAGTCCCCTGACCCTGGTTAAAATTGTTGCAAGATGATGGAAGTCAGACGCAGGATACAGGGCCATTTCTTTCATTTCTTGCCACTGTGTGTGATTATTTATTTTTTTCCATGGGGCTCTCATGCATATAGTCTGTGTTGCAATGACGTCCTCTGTTCCTCTGTGATGGAATCAGCCTGATTCTGCAGTGTTCCCTCTGATAACACCTCTCTTGGCCTCTCTCCTACTCTTTCTTTGAGTCAGAGCCTCTGTTACTTTCCTTAGCAGATTTCTACTCATGGGAAATAGGTATAAAGTGACATCAGGAAGAGTGATAGATGTGCATTTGAAGAGTTTTAGGTTTTTAAATTTCTTTTTTTTAAGAATGTGTACGACTGAGAAACAGATAACAGTAATTAGCCACTTTTCCCGACCCTCTGTATACTCTGGGGCTGCTGGCAATGTCTGGAGACTTATGCAGTTGCCCTGTTTTTGTTTGTTTGTTTGCTGTGGGTCCCCTTGCTTGTGTAAAATTATGAGGTTGATTTATTGAAAAATGTCATAAATTCTTATTTTCTCGATAAATGTTATGTTTCAACTTGCCACGGTATCAGGTGGCCTTTGCCCTTCCAACAGAAACAAATAATGCTGTGTTTTAGAGAAATTAATTACTGGCTTGTGTTGCTTTCTCCCATGTAGTCATTTATCATCTGTCTAAAAGGAAAGGAGCCAATATACAGTTGGCTGTGAAGTCTGTAAATGGAGATACTTTTAAACACACGCACACTCTGATGTCCTTGATGACATTATGGATATTCACCTTTATGGATGTGATGTGCAGCTAGTTTTATGTTAGATACTTCTGTATACTTTAAACTGGCTCTTTTGATGGAGGTTGGTGGTAGTTAAAAGTCTTTGCTTTGCCCTGTCCAAACAAGAAAGCAAAACAACAACAACGACAACAACAACAGCAACAACCACAACAACAACTCTTTCTGCACAAAATTGTTATATTCTAGGGTGGGGTGCTTTTACATAATCATGTAATAATATACAGAATTCAAGGACTAAGTAATGAGGTTAATTGAGGCTTTGGCCATTCAAGAAGTGTAGGTCAAATTTTAGTAGCTAATGATTAAATATTTCATTTTCTTCTATTTTATTCATTGTTCTTTCTACCAATCTTTTAATCTCTCATGAATGCATACCTGGGATTTAAATAGATCTTGGTACTAGTCCTGTGAGGGATGACTCCATATAGGTGTTTGTGTTGTGAATGAAGCTGTAGCTGATTCAGGTCATGAGAACTTTGCTCAGCAGTACAGATCAGATCTCTAGACAGCAAAGCTGTAACCATGTACTTGTTTCCTTCAAGAATTAAAGATTACAATTTCAGGTAAAGTCCTCTTTAGCAGTGCTTCTTAGATTACTAGATTTCTTTCTTTTGTAAACAGCTTTACTAAAATATAATTCACATACTATACTCAACTGAAGTATACAATCCAATGGTTTTTAGTGTATTAACAGAGTTGTGCAACCATCAGTATAGTCTTATTTTAGAACATTTTTCATCACTCCAGAAAAGAAAGCCTGTACTCATTAGCACTCATTGACTGTCCTCCCTTCCCCCCAGCCTCTGGTGATCAGTAATCTATTTTCTGTCTCCGAATTTGCCTATTGTGGATATTTCGTATAGAATCATAGAATATTATGGGGGTTTTTTTTGGTGATGCTTTCTTTCGTTTAATATAATGTTTCATTTTTTAAAAAATTTATTTGAGAGAGAGCGTGAGTGAGCACAAGCAGGGTAAAGGGCAGAGGGAGAAGCAGACTCCTTGCTGAACAGGGAGCCTGATGTGGGCCTTGATCCTGGAACTCCAGGATCATGACCTGAGCTGAAGGCAGATGCTTAATGGAATGAGCCAGCCGGGTGCCCCTAGTATAATGTTTCAAAGTTCATTCATGTTCTAGCATGTATCAGTGCTCATTCCTTTTTATTGCTGAGTAGTATTCCATTGTGTGGATCTGCCACATTTTGTTTGTCTGTTCTTCAGTTGATGGACATTTGGCTTGTTCCCACTTTGGAGTTGTGAGAGAAAAAATGCTGTTGTGAACATTCATGTGGCAATTTTTTTGTGAGCACAATGTTTTCAATTCTCTTGGGTGTTTACCTGGAGTGGAGCTGTGTGTCATATTGTAACTTGTGCTTAACTTTTTGAGGTACTACCAAACTGCTTTCCTAAGCACCTGCAGCATTTTACATTCCTCTACCAGTAATGTATGAGGGGTCCAATTGTTCCATATCCTTGTTAACACTTGTTTTGGGGGCGCCCAGGTGGCTCAGTCAGTTAAGCAGCCGACTCCTGGTTTTGGCTCAGGTCATGATCTCAGGGTCCTGGGATTGAGCCCCACGTGGGGCTCCATGCTTAGTGCAAGTCTGCTTGTCTCTCTCCCCTCTCTCTCTTTCTCTCTAAAATAAATAAATAAAATCCTTTAAAAAATACTTGTTATTGTTTGTGGTTTTTATTTTAGCCATTCTAGTGGGAGTGAAGTGGTTGGTATCCCATTGTGGTTTTGAGTTAAGTTTCCTAATGACTACTGATGTTGAGCATCTTTTCTTGTGCTTATTTGCTATTTGTATATCTTCTTTGGTGAGATGTCTATTCAAATCTTTTGTCATTTTATAAATTGGGTTATTATTGAGTTGTAAATATTCTTTATATATTCTGAATATAAGTCCCTTATTCAATATATAATTTGCAAGTATTTTCTTTCTTTGGTTTTTCTTTTTCCTTTCTTTCTTTTTTTTTTTAAAGATTTTATTTATTTATTTGACAGAGAGAGAGAGAGAGAGAGAGAGCACGAGCAGGGGAGCAGCAGAGGGAGAGGGAGAAGCAGACTCCCTGCTGAGCAGGGAGCCCGATATGGGGCTCGATCCCAGGACCCTGGGATCATGACCCAAGCTGAAGGCAGGTGCCCAACCGGCTGAGCCACTCAGGCACCCCTCTTTTTCCTTTCTTCTTTTTTTTAATTCAATGCTTTATTTTATTTTTTTAAAGATTTTATTTATTTATCAGAGAGAGAGAGCACAAGCAGGGGGAATGGCAGGCAGAGGGAGAAGTAGGCTCCCCGCTGAGCAAGGAGCCCGAAGTGGGACTTGATCCCAGGACCCTGGGACCATGACCGAGCTGAAGGCAGAAACCCAACTGACTGAGCCACCCAGGCATCCCCTCTTTTTCCTTTCTTGATAGTGACCTCTGTAACACAAATGTCTTTTATTTTAACAAGGTCCAGTTTGTCTCTTTTCTTCTTTTGTTGCTTGTGCTTTTGGTGTCATATCTAAGAAACCATTGCCTAACAGAAGATCATGAATATTTACTCCTCTGTGGTCTTCTAAGAGTTGTATAGTTTTAGATCTTATATTTAGGTCTGTGATCTAGTTTGAGTAAATTATTGTGTATGCCACGAGGAAGAGGTCCACCTTCATCCTTTTTTTTTTTTTTTAATTTTTTGACAGAGGGAGAGACAGAGAGGGAACACAAGCAGGGGGAGTGGGAGAGGGAGAAGCAGGCTTCCTGCGGAGCAGGGAGCCCAATGCGGGGCTCGATCCCAGGACCCTGGGATCATGACCTGAGCTGAAGGCAGACGCTTAATGACTGAGCCACCCAGGTGCCCCCATCCTTTTTTTTATGTCAAAGATATATTTATTTATTTTAGAGAGAGAGAAAGAGAGCGGGGGGGAGGGGTAGGGAGGAAGAGGGAGAGAGAGTGTCTTAAGCAGACTCTGTGCTGAGTGTGGAGCCTGGTGGAGGGCTTGATCTCATGACCCTGAGATCATGATATGAACCAAAGCCAAGAGTTGGATGCTTAACAGATTGTGCCACCCAGGCGCCCCCACCTTCATTCCTCTGTGTATGGATATCCAGTTATTTCAGAATCATTTATTAAAAGACAATTTTCCCCCATTGAATTGTCTTGCACCTTTGTTGAAAATCAGTTGACTGTAAATGTAAGGGCTTATTTATGGATTCTCAGTTCTATTCCATTGATCTGGATGTCTCTCATAATGCTAGTACCACCCTGTCTTGATGACTATAACTTTGTGGTGAGGTTTGAAATTGGAAAGTCTGAGTCCTTCAACTTTGTTTTTTTTGTTGTTCTTTTTTAAGAATACTTTCACTATTCTGGGTCCTTTGCATTTCTTTATGAGATTTAGGACAAGCTGTTCAAATTCTGCAAAAAAGTGAAGAAGGATTGCACTGAATCTGTAGATGAATTTGGGGGAGTATTGCCACCTTAACAATATTGAGTCTACTGACCCATGAGCATGGGATGCCTTTCTATTTATTTAGGTTTTAAAAATTTCTTTCAAAGGTGCTTTTTTGGGGATGACTTTTTATTTATATTTTCTACTCCTAAATCATTTTCTTTTACTAGGGATCTAGTTATAGTCCAGGTGGGAGAAGCAAATGAAAGAAAGGCACTGTTAAGATACATTCTCTGTTCTATTGGAGATAGTAGACTTTGAATAGGAAATTATATCTGGAGGCTTCATGGTAATGCCAAGAATCACCTGCCTGAGGATTGTTAAATCCTAGATCAGGTTACCACCAAGCAGTACTGAATTCCGTTCTTTGAAACAGTTGAAAAACAGAAGTATTGCTTATCTCACTGGGGTTGTTCAGATTCTGAGAGGCAAACCAGTTAACCTTCTGGAGCACTAGATGGCTCCAGGATTTACCTTATTTCCTTTAAGGTTTGTTTGATTTTCTGAATATGTTTAAAATTAAAAGAATATCAAAAGGCATATAGTGACAAGTCCTCCTCCCATCCTTTCCCCCATCTACCCAGTCACCCTTCAATTTTTATGTATCTTTCCAGAATTTATATATATATATAGTAAATATTAATATATATTCTTTTATCAGAGGTCTTAGAATGCATATTAATTGAGACTTTGTAAGAAATAAATTTATAGTAAGTAGATTTTAAATAGGATTTTATTATTATTATTATTTTTTAAGATTTTATTTATTTGTTAACAGAGAGAGAGACAGCAAGAGAGGGAACACAAACAGGGAGAGTGGGAGAGGGAGAAGCAGGCTTCCTGCCGAGCAGGGAGCCCGATGTGGGACTCGATCCCAGGACCCTGGGATCATGACCTGAGTTGAAGGCAGACGCTTAATGACTGAGCCACCCAGGCGCCCCTTAAATAGAATTTTAAGTGACCAATATGTGATCAATTTGGGTATTCTTTCTTATTAGTATTAGTGAAGACTTCCCCTAATTGAGTTAGGAGAAAATTTTGTTCTGCTCATTTTTCTTATTCCTTGACAAGGGGCTGTTTGAATCAGGGTTGAACACTCTCTGCATAACAGATTTTGGCAAATATCTACATTATGGGGCCACTTGTCAGAACCTCTCTCTGCTTGTGAAAAAGTACATAAAGTGCAAGTTTGTTTTTGGCAGAATGGGCAAATGTTACACAATTCTCTGGCTGAATCCCACACCAGATTCAGATTTATTGTGCAGTCTTATACATATGCCTAAATCTGAATCGTCATTTTTTTTCTCTGCACGTGTAAATTTTCTTTTTTTAAAAAAATGTAAAAAATTTTTAAAGTAATCTCTACACCCAGTGTGGGACTCGAACTCAGGACCCTGAGATCAAGAGTCACTCACTCTACTGACTGAGCCAGCCAGGTGCCCCATATGTAAAATTTCAACACAAGTTAACCTATACCTCACTAGGAATCTAATAAAATAAAGTAGTATTAAATGTCAGAGTTTACTGAAGACAGGAATATTGGCAAAATGTGTTGTTTTTAAAGCATTTTCATCATATGTACATGTAACTTAATTTACACTTCAACCTGTATAATTTATTTACTTTTCTTTTCCAAGAAGCTATCTATTAAAGACATGGCTGACTTTCCTGTCCCAGCCCAAGATGTGACTAGTGATGACAAACAAGGTATGAAAAGAATGAGTTTTCTTCCTTTAGGGACATTCTACCTGTGTTTCTTCATCTACTTCTCTTGGAATGGCTGGCTTCTGGAGCATATGAGGAAAGTGTTCAGTATATGAACACATTTGGATGGATTAAGTAGTTCAAATAGTTGTCAAAAAACTGTAATTTCTGAAGTGGTAACAGGAGCTTCCAAAGCCCCCTAACTCATTGGCCCCTTACTCACTGCTGACCCTCAGACTACTCTGACACTTTACATTGGGATTTGGTTGCACTAATTAGGAAATGACTGGAAGCTGGAAGAATTGAGAGCTTAACATCTTGGGTTGGCAGATGTGATTCCAGAACATCAGTATAAATGCATATTTGTGCACAGGTCTAATCCTTGAGGAAGTTATCTTCTGGAGAGAGTTTCTGTCCCTGGGATTTATCTTGTGACTTTGTGGATGCGAGGCTGTGTCGTGGAGCCAGCAACCATTTGTCTATCTTACTGGGCAAGTGAGAAGCAGTACAGCACAGTTTTCCATGTTAGAGCTACCATGAAGCACAGAGATGAGTTGGCCTAGGAATATTTAGAAGAACAGTTGGATGTCTACCCCCCTGACCCCCCTCCCCCCGCCAACACCACTCCATATAATTCTTTATATTAATCTACCAGGTCCTTCCTCATTCATTGTCTTACTCGGTTCTCACAAAACTGAATGGGGGCTAGTATGTTTTATCACCTAAAACGCAGAGATGAGTAAACCGAAGTGCAGGCAGTGTGAATCATTTGTTTAATAATAAAAAGAATGGAGATAAGAACAAAGATTTTCTAAGTCTCAAGCCAGTATTCTTTTTATTATTTGATACTGATTTACTACCCATGAATGAGAGGCTTATCTGAAGGGACTAAAAATCAGGGAAGCTATTTCAGGTTTATTGTCGAGACCTGCCATTGTTGCTGCTTTGTACAGGAATTAAACATGAAAAATAAGTTTTCCATTCGGAAACAATAATTGCTTGCTCTCTATTTAAATATTTGCTCAGGAGAGGCAGGCAGAACTAGACATTTTTTGCAGCAGTGTGTACTCTGATCACGGTCTTTACTAGTGAGTCTAAGCCTTGATTGCACATTGGAATAACCAGGTGAGGTCTAAAAATACTGAAGACTGCATCTCACTCCCAGAGAGATTCTGATGTCATTGGTCTGGCTGTCAGGAATGAAAGGGGGAAATTTCTCATACTTTCTGGTAATATTCCTCATAGCCACTAGAGGTGCTCTCTGTTGAAAATTGGAAATACTGCTTTGTTCCTTGTGGGATGAAAACCTATTTCCATACTTTAGGGGGTCTTTATTGTTTTACTAAGTGCTGTACCAACCTGTAGAGGTTTATAACACCATTTTCATAAGTGACGACTAGGGATTCTTTGTTTTATTTTTTTTTAAAAAAGATTTTATTTATTTATTTGGCAGAGACACAGAGAGAGAGCGGGAACACAAGCAGGGGGAGTGGGAGAGGGAGAAGCAGGCTTCCCGCTGAGCAGGGAGCCCAATGAGGGGCTCGATCCCAGGACCCTGGGATCATGACCTGAGCCGAAGGCAGACGCTTAACGACTGAGCCACCCAGGTGGCCTGGATTCTTTGTTTTAATGTAATGTGCCTCAGACATAAAATTTTACAGTTTTTTTTTCTCCTTTCTTTCTCTTGTTGTTTAAGAACAAAACAAAACACGTCTAGAACAAAACAAAATACGTCTAGCTTTGAAAAGTACTGCGGATGAAGCCTTACCAAAGGATATGTCTGAGGATCCAGGTAAGAGAAAACCATTTTAATATATTTTTATGTCATTATTTCTAATTTAAAAAACCCAGTAGTTTCAGTGAGTAGAAAATAGGTGGTAGTGTAAGTTTCTCTCTAAATATTTGCCTTGTATTTATTTTTTGACCATGTAGAAGGTACTTTATTGAGGTGATTAGGGGTGCCCCCAGCCCAGTCTCAGCCCCCTCAGTACAGTCCCATGGGTGGAAAGGACCAGGCCTCTGGGCTGCTCTGGGCCACCACCCAGGAGAGGCTGGGCAGTCGGGCAGGGGGGCTGGGGCTCCAGTCCAGGGTAGAGGTTCTGGGCAACAAGGGTGATGGTGGCTGAGGCATGGGCTGTTGGGGCCGGACCCCCCAGGGCCGCGGAGGGGGCAGCGTGGCTACCAGCCAGATGCTTTTCAGCAGGTCAAAGGCTGTTGGGGGGCCCCAGGCTGCCCCGGATGGCGAAGGCAGCAAGGGCACGGGGGGTGGCCAGCACCTTTTGGCGCTGCCAGGCTCACCCTGTGCACCATGGGAGTGCTGCAGGTGTGAGGCATGGCAAACGTGAGCATCTTTGTCCTCTGTTGCCTCCTCTGCCTCCCCTCCCCTGGGGCTGGCTCAGGGCTGTTGATGCAGGAGGGTGTCATCCTTCGGCTTTCAGGGCCCCCAGGCTTGGTCCCTGGTAAGGGTGGCTGGCAGCCACGGAGCACCACGGTGAGGTCTGTAAGGTGCCCACAGTGGCATCCCTGGCTTCTTGCACTAGGTTCCTCCTGGGGAAGGCCTGTGGCAGAATCAGCTGGCGCTGCAGCTCCTCCAGCAGCTGCCCCCAGCCACGGAGCTCTGGGGGACTGGGTGGGCCTGGGCCGGAGCCTCTAGGCACCTGGTTCTCCTTGCCCCTTGACTGTGGGGCTGGTTCTTGGGCCCACCTTGGGCTCGGGGAGGGTTTGGTGGGGAGTGAAGGGGTGCCTGGCTCCAGGGACTCACAGCTAAGCAGCCATGCCACGTCAAGAGATTTCTCCTCATGGTTGAAGAGACCCCAGTGCTCCCGGCTCAGCCGGCCCTGGGTTATGACCACAAGCTTGGGAGCAGTAGGGACCACAGAGGGATCCTGACTGGTCACAGGAGGATCCTGACGGGTCAATGGCTGGCGGCTGCCCATCAGGGCCTCATTGCGCTCCCGCCTCGTCTTCCGATGGCGGACACGACCAGTTTCCTTAGGCCGCTGGAAAGGCTGGGGGGGTGCTGGCCCTCGGGGGTCCATAGTGTCCTTCTCCTGGACCAACGAACCCCGCCCCACACCCACCCCACGTGGCTGTGGGGTGCAGTGGCTTCTTTTCCGCGGTAACCCTAGCTCACGACGGACTGGGGTCTCTTCCGGGCCTCACGCTGGGCGCCTTGTGTTTTATTCTAAGGAAGTCTTTTGGTTGCTTTTTACCGCTTCCCTCTTTTCAGGTATGAGAAGAGAGTGTTTTTTATTTTTAAGTTCTGAATTTAGGTTTCACTGATAGGATCACGCAGTTTGAAGTTAGAGTTTCATTGTTACTTTTACTGTGAAATTGGGAAGGCTTGGATTTGAGATTTCAGTAAGCCATTGTGGTTTCTGTGTAGAGTAAGGAGCTGATTGGTAGATCAACTGGAGGCCCACAGTTGAACTTTTCCATTTCCAGAGCAAAAATCTCAAATGTTTTCATTAGACTTCACCACCAGGAAGGCAAGTAAATGTGCTTATACAGGGAGTGGATTCCAAGGAGAAAAAGAAAAGTTGTGTTTGCCCATGTTCTTGAAGAGTTGGAACTGTGTCTGTGAACTGTGGAGAGGGCCAGGCCTGTGTCCTCAGCTCTCTTGATGGGAGCCATCACTGAACCAAGCTGAACCTAGTTGAAAGCAAACTGGCTAGGGAGGGCATTACTCTTTGGAGCTCCAGTTGTGAGGATGTGGAAGAAGTTGCTGCATTCTCTCATTGTTATCTTTCATAATATTTAATAAGTAAATCATGTTTGTTTTGGTTAGCTAGCTATCATCCCAGGCTTATTTGTTTAAAGTTGGAACAAAGGAATCAGTATAACATTGAGCCTTATGCTATAGTACAGCATTTCCCAAACACTAAGTTCATTCAAGGTTTAAAAGAGAGAGAGGGGCGGGGGAAGATAGAAGGAGGAGGGGAGAGAGAGAGAGAGAGAACATGAATATGAATGAGAATATATGATTGATTTCGGTGATGAGGTTGAAGATTCTGTGTGTTTAGGCAGCACCCCAGGTGATTCTGATGTGTGGCCTATTTGGGGAACCCCTGCCTTTAGGAGATGATGTTAAGAATTGGAAAATTGAGGGCGCCTGGGTGGCTTAGCTGGTTAAGCGACTGCCTTCGGCTCAGGTCATGATCCTGGAGTCCTGGGATCGAGTCCCGCATCGGGCTCTCTGCTCGGCAGGGAGTCTGCTTCTCCCTCTGACCCTCCCCCCTCTCATGTGCTCTCTCTCATTCTCTCTCTCTCTAATAAATAAATAAAATCTTAAAAAAAAAAAAGAATTGGAAAATTGAGACTGTAGATCAACCATGCCTCCAAAAGTGGTCGGAATTCTCAAGCCTAGTTTGGGTTCCTTCATCATAGGGAGAAATGCTCAGTTTATGTAAAGACAAATGGATTGCTGGCTTGTTAGAGAATTAGACTTTAGGCTTGCCCTCTTATCCCATGTCAGGACAAATGCCTGAGGTAAGTTCTTTCCACCTCTAATTTCTGGAGCTAAAGTGGATGCACCTCTGTTTTTGTAAACTTCATGTTAACGGTGTTAATAAAAGCTAGTTGAACTTGGAGAGTTAAATTGGTGCTTTTCCAACAGCCTTTTAGGCTAATAACTTGCTGTTTTTCCCATGAGCATTGTGTGTTCTCTGAAGCATGAGCTTCATTTTTAATATTCCTTCACTGACAGGGGAATGGGGTCACCAGACAAATGCTACGAGGGTGTGCCACGGTGTGCAAAGCACATCTGCATTTGTTTCATTCTGCATGGGAACATGCTATGTAGCTTCTGATTCATTTTTCCTACTGCTGCCCCTTTCTGGAGTGGATATGAGGGAATCCTTCATCTGAAAACCTATTTAATACCCCCTTTCCTGGGGCATGTTTGGATTTCTAGTGTGAGACACTAGAGTTTCAACGTGGTGGTTTCTTTTTTTTTTAAAGATTTTATTTATTTATTTCAGAGAGAGAATGAGAAAGAGAGAGCACGAGAGGGGGGAAGGTCAGAGGGAGAAACAGACTCCCCGCTGAGCAGGGAGCCCGATGGGGGACTCGATCCCGGGACTCCAGGATCATGACCCGAGCCGAAGGCAGTCGCTTAACCAACTGAGCCACCCAGGCGCCCAACGTGGTGGTTTCTAACTCTGAATGTCTGTCCATGCCACACGGACATTTCACCTCAGTTGAGTGCTGCCTTTTAGAGAATTAAACTTCAGGCTTGCCTTTTTATCCTATTTCAGTTTGCTGCAAAGATGACATGCCCGGGGTGTTCTAGGAAGTTGTCATTCTTCTTCCCTCTTCCCAGCTAAATGAGAAGCTGTGATCTCCCCACTGGCTTCTGCCTGGATTCCAGTACAACATGCCCTGGCCGTTTTTGCAGATACTCACATGCCCCAAATGCTGAGTCTGACTTTCAGCGGCTTGGAGGCTGATGGAAGACTTAACTGGAATAGTGTTCTCTAGTTTTTTGTGATCCGAAACCTGTAGGGACTTATCAAGATCTGCCTGGGATATATTTTTGCAGATGGCAGGAGAAATATCTCCCTGCCCTGCTCTTCCACAATGGGTGGTAATAATGATGATAATAATGGTAATAGTAATGGTGATGAAGATGATGTTGTGGTGGGACTGTTGTCAGGGAATGGGGGTAATTCCTTGTCACATATTTTTTAATATGCCCTTACCCTTTTAAATGCTGAAAGTGTACATATTAGTGGAGTCTAATAGATTCCTTAGCTAACATCATATTCCAGCCTAATTCAACAGGGCACACTGTACAATGGTGATCTTTTTCTTGATGTCTGTAAGTCATGCTGAGGGGATTAGGCCTGTTGACCCTCACACTGTAGTCTTCAGACACCGTTGGTGATTCTAGCAGCTGCCCCGTTGCCAGCTATCACCCCATGGTCTTACAGGGTAGAACAGTTTTCTGCTTCCATTACCTTCTCCCACCTGTACCTCCTTTGCTGTCCTAATGGGAACTAAATTTAGAATCCAGGTTTCTAAGCTTGAAAAATTAGGAGCACTCTCCAACAGTAATATTTTGCAATTCTAAAATATAGTTAGTTTTCAAAGTACTTTCACCTCTCTCCTTGTGAGAAAGGGGCCACATTTTTATTATCTTCATTCTGTAGACGAGGAAACTGAGGCTCAGAATCATAATAGTTACCGTTGTGGCCAGGAGGGACATGTAGGCCTCAGGACACCTGTCTGGGTCTCCACTGCTTATCCATTCCCCCACACCCCATCTGTCTGTATGTCTATCTCTCCCCTCCAGGGTTTTCCACTCCTTCCACACCCATTCTCACCCCAGCAAAAAGACAGAGATAATGGCTGTTGACAAAGGAATTAACGGTCACCCCCGTGGTCTGATTTGGGGAACCAGACTTTTATTTTAATGTGGCTGAGACTTTCCCGACCCATATATTTCTGGAAAGCAGTGTCGCCTGAGGGAGAAGAGGGGTTCAGAGCCAGTTGTGGGCAGCCTGCCCAGAGGGTGGCCCCCAGCTTTGTGGTGAGTCTGGTCACCCTGTTCACTCAGCCCCACGGCAACCTGCTTGACTGCAGGATGGGCTCCCCTTAGGCCCCTTTCCTTTGCTGCCTGGGGTTTTTGGGGTCAGGGGTGGCGGGGGGAGCCACATATCCCTGCAGATGTGGATGCATGAGAATGGGCAGGACAGGGCTCAAACTCCTTGGGCCTCCCATGCTTTTCAGGGCTCTGGCAGCATTTTGATGGATTGAAGTTGAAAGATGCCTATGTTCTCACTACACCAAACCAAAATTCTTATTTTGGGATAAATGCATCTTTTCGGCAGCTGACCATATCTAAGGGAATATATATTGCTAGTTTGCTTTGTGCCTTGTTAGCATTTTTAGCTCCCCTTTCCTCTCCTGCTTATCTAACCCATGGATTTTAATGACCATCGTCAATTCAGGCTGCTTCATCCCAAGGAGGGTTTTTATCTTTAGGAGCAATGTAAAAAGGGGTGGGATAATTCACTGAAACATAAGAAAATGTTTGGAAGAATTTGTGCAAACAGTATACAAACTATATTCTCCTTGTTCCTAGTTAGAGTAGCACTTTTTCTATGGATTTTTATGACATTTTATGATGAAAAATTTGCAGCTTAGCATAACTAATGGTTTCTAAAGTTGTCTTTCGTAGGGTACTGAAAACATAAAAAAGGATTAATCTTTTTGTAAATGTTTCTAATTACTCCCAGCAACTGTGATGGGAAAGTAGGCTTCATGGGTGTCAATACTGAGCAAGTTAGTTCATGATTTACATTTGATAAGGAAAAGTCATATGGTTGATAAAATATTTTAATGATTTCACTCTGTAATATCCTGTGTATGATTTGGTCACAGAGACATAGGACACAAGAATATTTTCTTACAGGAGAATCTGTGTAGCTTATTTCAACTTGTGGGAGCTTTGATTTCTTGTGGTCATGCTGCTCTGGTAGTGTATTTTTAAAAAATCTTGAAATATGTAACCTGATAGATTTCTTCTTAGCTTTCAGGGGAAGCTGGTTCAAAATCAATTACTAGGCTATCATGATAGACCAAGAAAACCACAGGTCTGAACCCACTATTATACAAGTAGATAACCCCTTGAGAGGGTTGTCTTTTTAGACTGGAATTTCTTCATTCGTCAACGTAGATTTGAGAATAGCTCCTTAGTACTCTAACAAAAGGAAAAAAATATTGGTTTCTCCTTCCTTTAAATTGTGCCTTTAGCTTTAGAAATAAAATTACAAAATAATGAAAATGTGGAGGCGGTCAAGTTCTCCACAGGGACACCTGTACCTCACATTTACCTGTTGATAATGTTTGTTCTCTACTAGCCCAGGTATTGCTTATAAACCTGTTCAACTGCAGAAATGAAAGCCAAGTAAACAACAACTAATCTTTGTTTCAGCCACTTCTAAGGATTCCAACAGTCTCAAAGCAAGACCAAGATCCAGGTAGTGTTTGTTTAATTTCTGCTTTAATGCCCCTTCTATCCTGTCCCTGACTAGAAATAAAATCCCACAACCTGAAGCCCAACCCACAATTTCCTTTTCCTTCAGATTTGAAGCTTAGAATAGGGGTGAATTCACTTGTCATGAAGGGCCTGCTTGGAGCATGCAGTGCGGCTGGGAGACTCTCAGTTTCTGTGTTTATTAGCGCTGGAAGACGGTGGCTGCTTCTGGCAGGTCGCCTGACAAGAAGTGGTTTGTGTGGATATGGCCCAGTTGTTGCAAGATGATAAGGAATAGAGGGCAGTAGTTTTGGAGAGAAGGAAATGTGGTTCAAAGGTAACACTGAAATTTACTATCATGACAAGGTGGACACCCAAAAGTAAGACGCCTGAGGGATGAAATCTAGAGTAGGAAAAGAAAATGCTCACGGTGATTTTAATGAGGCTTGAGGCTTTAGGTAAGCAGTGCTTATGGTCTGTTTTATCCTGTCTTAGAGCTGCTTTTTGGCTTCACGGTTTGTTTGTTGTTGTTGTTGTTGTTGTTTTTAATAGATTTTGTTATTTGACAGAGAGAGAGACAGTAAGAGAGGGAACACAAGCAGGGGGAGTGGGAGAGGGAGAAGCAGGCTTCCCGCCGAGCAGGGAGCCCGATGCGGGCTCCATCCCTGGACCCTGGGATCATGACCTGAGCCGAAGGGAGACGCTTAACGACTGAGCCACCCAGGTGCCCCAAGCTTCACAGTTTTTAGATCAGTAGAAGCTAGTAGAAGAGGGAGAGCGAGTAAGACAGAGCTGCAGTTGACATCAGACATCAGAGTGGAGGATGAGGAGAAATATGGAAACATTAATAGAACATCAGAGAGGAGAAATGGTGTTGGGACCACTCTTCAGTGGTAGACAGCAGTGTAAGGACAGTACATATGTGTTTGCTTTGGCTCTTAGTGACTTTTTTCTTCCTTTGGCTACTGAGACACATTCCTGAAAAAGTGAATTTAAATCTGATCATATTTTATATGCTTGAAATATTGATAATTGAGGAAACCTCGTCGTCTTGTAAATCTGAGAGTTATCCCTTAGTTTATCTTTTATGTCTGGAGTTTCTAAATTGGGGTTTTGTTTCCTTGTTTATAGAAGATACAGATATCTATATTCACATTTTTTGAAACAATAGATAACAGTAATCTTTTTGGCAGGAAAAAAGGTATAGTCACTGTTTCTGTCTGTGCTACCACATTTACTCATCTTTTTTTTTTTTTTTTTAAAGGATGAATGGATCTTTTACTGTACTGGCTTAAAGTACTGGCTTTAGGATGTAGAAATAGTAACATTTATCTGCCCTCATAGTATGAAAAACCTTTGAATTCCAGAAATCTGTTTATGTGTGCTGTGTTAACTTTAAGTTAAACCTCACAGTTTTCTTCTATTGACTTCCTCTCTTTCTCCAAGTGAATGAAAGTACAAAATTTCATGGTTACCTGTTCTATTATTAATATCTCTGGCCAACTTTTTTTTTAAGATTTTATTTGTTTATTTGACAGAGAGACAGCAAGAGAGGGAACGCAAGCAGGGGGAGTGGGAGAGGGAGAAGCAAGCTTCCCGCTGAGCAGGGAGCGTGATGCGGGGCTCGATCCCAGGACCCTGGGATCATGACCAGAGCCGAAGGCAGACGCTTAACGACTGAGCCACCCTGGTGCCCCTCTGATTTCCTTTTTAAATCAAGAGTTCCCATTTGAAAACTTTGTTGTATTTTCCTATCAATTTCCTTTCACTCTGATTGAAAGTATCAGACCATTCTTCCTGCCAGTTCCTGCATGCCTTTACCTTGACTGTCTTGCCAGTTGTTTTACAGGGACCACCCCGGAGCACGTTCCATGCCTTTATGGCAGCTTTATGAAAGATTGCAACCTTGCATGACAAAACTCTTCAACTACCACAAAGAAACGTTGAGGGAATGATTTGGGAAAGTAAAAACTTGCTATGTCAAAACCAGCTCTACCAAGAACTGAAGTTGCTTAATAGTAATCGATAGATTCTGATTTCATAAATGACACTCTAATAGCTAAATACTAATAATAGTTTTCTGATGTTAATTTGTCTCTAGAGCATATCTCTGACTCTAAGGTCATTTTGTTCTTTGACATGAGTGTAGCTGAGAGGCTGAGTAGAACAGATGTACACATCCACTTCTTAGAAAATCATATTGGGAACTCATCCACAAACCTGTTTCTAAGCAATTGATTAATGTACTGAGTTGAATTAATTTAGAAAATAATTAAGTCTCTAGTAAGTAGTTTAGCCGCTACTGCCAAAAGATTTCTTTCTTGGCTTATAGGCAGTATCAGACTATTTTAAAAATGGAATTTAGAAACAGATTGGAGTTTGAATTGAACCAATGTAACTTTCTAGCTATGTTACCTTTGGCAGGTTATTTATTTTCTGTTTCTTTGAATGTAATTATTAGAGTTACAATCTCAGAAGTTGTCTAGTTAGGTACTGCCTTGTTACAGATTGAGGGACAAGGTTAAGAGGAAGCTTTTGCTTTGAAAATTTCCCCAAACTAGTATTTCTCATGGTAAGACAGCCTAGACCCCTTCATCTGATAGATGTGTGTTTCCCTTTCCTGAATTTCATTTGTGGCGTATTCCCTTGAGCCTCTGATTCTTACTCTCAGGTTATCTGCCCCACTTCCATACGTGCCTGTCATCGTGTTCACATGTAAACAGGAGAAAAGTGCTGCAGTCCATTAAGACCATGAAGCCCTTCTGTTAAAATATGGAAGTGGCTGAGCAGAAGACTTACATGTTATTCTTATTAACAATACCCATAGAAACGGATTTGAATTTACAGAAAGCTTTTCCTTTGTGTAAATTTAGGTCTAAGATGTAGTATGAACAAAGAGGTTAAAAAAGGGTCTGATTCATGGTTTGGGTTTGGACAATTATTGCAGGTAGTGGCACCCAAGGGACAGCTGAATTCGTGGTTGCTTTGAGATGGGCCCTGGTCAGTCCTTTGTAGTGACTTTGACTTTTGTGGGTATTTCCATTTCAACCCTACTTCAGAGACTAAAGCTTTGCTGTCTCCCTTCTGACCTTTCCTTATTTTGCTGCAGATCTTACTCTAGCACCTCCATAGAAGAGGCCATGAAAAGGGGCGAGGACCCTCCTACCCCGCCACCGCGGCCACAGAAAACCCATTCCAGAGCCTCCTCCTTGGATCTGAATAAAGTCTTCCAGCCCAGTGTGCCAGGTGAAGTGCCCCTCTGCACCCCAGTCTTTCCCTTTCTTGTTGGAGTCACTGGATGTGTGTCTGCCACAGAGGCCTTTGTGAGTCCACAGAACGAGCAGATCTGGCCATTTCCCGTCCCAGGAAGGTCCTCGAGTTGCTATGGTATTCTTGGGAGGGAAAGCAGTTCTTTTTTTTTTTTTTTTTAAAGATTTTATTTATTTATTTGAGAGAGAGAGAGAGAGAGAGCACAAGAGGGAGGAGCGGGAGAGGGAGTAGCAGACTCCCCGCCGAGCAGGGAGCCCGATGCAGGACTCGATCCCGGGACTCCAGGATCATGACCTGAGCCGAAGGCAGTCGCTTAACCAACTGAGCCACCCAGGCGCCCGGAGGGAAAGCAGTTCTAAACCGATAAGATATCCTATGTGTCTGGAGCCTTGCCCACACCCATATGGACCAAGAATTATGAAATTCTGTACCAAGAAGATTAAAATACTTAAACCCCAGACAGCCCACTGAGTGCATGGCTGGGGTCTTGTTCTCCGTATTGTGGTAATTTGTATATAAGTAATTTGTATATAATTTGTATATTGTCTGTCATTTCCTGAGATGCTTACGCAGTTCTTTGTGAAAGACCTTGGCGATCGACACCTGGCCAGAATCTTCCTCTGCATCTTATCCTTGTGGTGAAGATGCGGTGTCTTGGAGGGTTTAATGCTAAGGGGCTTGCTTTCTAAATCTGACTGATGGTTAGGTGGTTGGTGGGGGGAACTAGGGCAAGGGCTCCTCCAGGTGGCCTGCTGAGGGCTTCTGGGACTGGGACTTCCTTGAGCCAGCTGCTGTACAGCTGGGCTGGAGGTGGGGGAAGTTGGAGGGCCCAGTCTCCTTCCCTGGCTCCCTGTGAAGTGGGAGATGTCCTCCTAGGGAACCTACAGAACAGCAGATGAGAACCATGCATGCCTTTGCTTAGCAAAGGTGTTAGGATGCAGCACCTTCCCGAGTGTTATTTTGGGAGCAGCAAGGGCCTTTCTACTGACTGATGTAGGCAAGCTATAAATATAGTGATTTCCTGGAACTTTTTCTCTATCTGTGTGCATTTTAAATCAAGCCAGCCTCAGATGCTAGTGATTTGCAGATTATTATCTTTTCTACAAAAGCAAGAAAAGACTCTCCTTGGCTCACACATTAGCATGACCTCTGTGTCCCAGCAGAGCTCAGCATGTTTTAGTTGTTCTAATAAAGTAGTCTCCTCACAGTAAAGTTACAGATTGTTTTTTAATATACTAGAGTCTGGAACTCTCTATGAAATTTGATTCTCTGCCATGAGTTCATCAGATAAAAATTTGCCTTGCATTTCCCCCCATACTTTGATCCAAATTCTGGCATAATTTCATAGTAACTAGTATTTGAGGTGGGAGTAGCCACGGATGATGATGCTATAAAAATTTCACATGGCTGGCGGATTATGACCCAGAAGATTTTTCTATGCATGCAAAAAGATTAAAACAATCTGGGCAGCTATCTTAATACGTTTTCCTTGCATGGAGAGGCTGGAAGCGTGCAAGTATCTCTCTGGCTGGAGTGCCAGCAGTCCTGGGGAATGGATGTGCTCTGGCTTTTACAACATTGCATCGTATGGTGGAAGAGACAAGACTGGATTTGGAGTCCAGCTCTGCTGCTTATTAACTGTTTGATTTTCAGCAAGTGGCTTAATCTTTCTGCATTTCAGATTTTTAATCTCTAAAATAGGGCCAACAGTCCACGGAGCTATAGGGTTTTGGTGAGATAATAAACATAATCCTAATAGCAACATGTTTGACCCATAGGCACTCATTTGCCCAGAAATCATTGAGGAAAGGGAGTGAGAGGATAAAGTCCCTTGCCCCCCTTGATCTCTAGTGGTTCAGGTCTGTAATCCCTTCCCTACAGTTCCTTGGTGGGCTCACAGAGAGACCGAGCCCCAGTTGCCTGCTGTATTACAAGCAAAGGACTGTGAAAAACAGAGTAAGTGAGGCTAGGTTGCTGAGTCAGAGTGGCCTATGGTGGACTGATTGTGTGGAGAAGAAATAGGATGGAGAGAAGATGCAAAGAAGCAAGAATGAAAGAGGGAAGTGCAGAAAATGATGAGATGGTTGTTACATAGGAGTGATGATGTTTATATAAAGGGAGGAGAAGGAAATAGAAGACTGTGATGACCAAGGGGAGGAGAGCACACAGAGAGCCCTTCCTACAGACTTGGTGAAGGATTTGGTGGGATTTAAAGGAAGAACTTAGAATGCCTTCATTAGAGCATTAATGCCTTCAAATTTAGGGAGATCAGTAAGATGATATGGGGAAGAATGACAAAGGGCTGATGTCGAATGTAAATCTATAAAAGTGAACAAGCCACTTTGGCAGTATGGGACAATTGGCTTTACCTTTGATATCTGTAAAAACAGTATGAATTTAAATTTACGGGAGTCTGGATAATCCCAGGGCTCTAGATAGGCAGGTACTGGTATTACACCTAAGTGTATGTTTTCATAGGGAGAAGTTGATATGACATGATTGCTGTGTGTAAAAGGGAGACCACCTTTGTTGTTGTTTTTTAAAAGCTTTTATTTATTTATTTATTTGACAGAAAGAGAGAGAGCACACAAGCAGGGGGGTAGCAGGAGAGGGAGAAGCCGGCTCCCACTGAGCAGGGAGCCCGATGCGGGACTTGATCCTAGGGTCCTGGAATCATGACCTGAGCTGAAAGCAGATGCTTAACCGACTGAGCCACCCAGGCGCCCCATGGGAGATCACCTTTGTAATAGCTGATCCAGGTCAGGGAGCCATCCTGTCAAGGCCCAAACAGCTGCTGCATTTGAGAGAACACAAAAATGTGCAAGAAAGTCTCAGTCAGTGATGATGCAAATGCACAAAATCTAGATGCAGTCAGACCTGGAATGTTTAGATTTTATAGCTCTATGCTTACCGCCACAAAACATATTTTATTATTATTTTGTTTTATAAAACATATTATGTTACTGAAATTTCCGTAAGAAAAATCAAACTGTGAAGGCAATACTCTTTAGATACTAACTTCTTTTTCCTCATTGAAACAGTTGTTTTCATAAAGCAGGGGTTTCTTTTGTTCCACCATGTGGGGTGGGAACTACCCTCCTTCCACTCTCAACAGTGACTTGCCCCTTCCAGAGCCATGTCTAAAGCTTGCAGCTGGAGGTTGCCACGGTGATGGTCAACCCCTTCAGTGCTGCCTCTGCCAAAATAGCCCTGTGCCAGTCATTGAGCTTCTACCTGGCAGAAGGGACAGAGGTTGTTTGGAGGAAACATAGCCATCCCTTTAAAGCTGCAGACCAGAAATCTTCATCACTTCCACTCAGCTCTAACTGGGGAAACCTAGTCCCATGAATATAGCTAGCTGCTGGGCAGCTGGGAAATGTAGTTCCTGGCAGGGTAGCCATTTCCCATTGACATCTCTCTTACTGTAAAAGAGGAGAGTGAATGTTGGTGGGGAGCTCTTTCTACCACATCGCATGTGGCCAAATACATTCAGATCCACATGTTAAAACCATTGTGATGGCTGAACAAAACACATCCATGGGTAGCATCTACCCATGGATAGCTAATGTTTTATTTCTGCTTTAGACATACTGATAATAATTCATTCCAGGGTTAAGAAATTATGGTACATCCATATTATGGAAACTTAAGAAGCAGTTAAAAAGAATAAGGTATGTGTACTAAGTGGAAAGCCATCTGACATAAATTAAATGAAAGAGGCATGGTGCAGAATATGCGTGTTCTTAAATGTATAGGCAGATTTTGGAAGGATACTTAGGAAAGTGGTAATAGTGGTTGCCTCTGGGGAAGAGAATAGGATGACTGGGGACAGGAGTGAGAGAGAAACTTACTTCTTATTGAATATCCACTTGTATCTTTTTAATTTTGCCTCAAGTACAGATATTATAAAAATTTTGCTTTTCACTCTATAGCCACAGTGACCAGATAGTACCTGAGAGTACCAGAAATGTCCTTCCCTGGCCCAGTTTACCTGTCTCAGATTTACCTACCATACTATGTCCAGGGTATTTTTATGACCAGTCTGCTGCCACTTTGTAGAATGCAGCTAAAATGACAGAAGCATTTTAGAACATTTTTTAAGACTCTGATATGTCCTTCAGATTCCTCTTCAGTGCCCTTCCAATATTGAGGAATAGTTAAGAGGACTTCCCGTAGTCTCCATTGTGAGATGTACAGATGGGCAAAGTGTGATAAGGGCTCTGTCTTAATTTGGAAGGGGGTTGTATTTTTTAGTTGGCCAGCTGAGAAGAGTCTGTCTGGGTTTTTCTACAAATTGATATTTCTGCAACTTGAGAAATACGTAAACCCTTTGGGAATAAGAGATACAACATCTCTTACCAAATTTAACCTTTCAAGTTCTCTAAAGGATGAATTTGCTCACACAAATGGCTTCGACCTTATAGATTTCCTTATTGTATCATTCCTGTGAGTGCTACTTGTTCCCTTTTAAAATCCAGTAGGATTATGGGATTCCTGCTCCACCCCCAAACTTTTGGGTCCACAGTACACAGCCAGCTAAGGGTTCAGTTTAGCAGTCTGGACAGTTTTTTTTTTTTTAAGATTTTATTTATTTATCAGAGAGAGAGACAGAGGCAGGCAGAGGGAGAAGCAGGCTCCTTGCTGAGCAAGGAGCCCGATGTGGGACTCGATCCCAGGACCCTGGGATCATGACCTGAGCCGAAGGCAGACGCTTAACCGACTGAGCCACTTAGGCGTCCCAAATTTTTTTTTTTTTTAAATGAAAGCTTTATTGAGGTAAAATCCACACACTATAAAATTTGCCCTTTTAAAGTATATAGTTCAGTGGCTTGTAGTATATTCATACTGTTGTGCAACCACTAGCATTATCCAATTTTAGGACATTTTCCTCACCCCAAAAAGAAGCCCCATACTCATTAGAAGTCCTTCTTCATTCCCCTGTCCTCTCCCACCAGCTGTTGGCAACCTCTAGCCTC